TGCTAGCAGATGCAGCTAAATATGCTAGCAGATGTAGCTAAATATGCCAGTAGATGCAACTAAATATGCTAGCAGACGTAGTTAAATATGCTAGCAGATGTAGCTAAATATGCTAGTAGATACGCTAAATATGCTAGCAGATGTAGCTAGCAGACGTAGCTAAATATGCTAGTAGATGCCGCTAAATATGCTAGCAGATGTAGTTAAATATGCTAGCAGACGTAACTAAATATGCTAGCAGATGCAGCTAAATATGCTAGCAGATGCAGCTAAATATGCTAGCAGATATAGTTAACCACGCTAGCAGATGTAGCTAACCAAGCTAGTAGATGCAACTAAATATGCTAGTAGATGCAACTAAATATGCTAGCAGATGTAGCTAAATATGCTAGCAGATGTAGCTAAATATGCTAGCAGATGTAGCTAAATATGCTAGCAGATGCAGCTAAATATGCTAGCAGATGTAGCTAAATATGCTAGCAGATGTAGCTAAATATGCTAGCAGATGTAGCTAACCACGCTAGCAGATTTAGCTAAATATGCTAGCAGATGTAATCTGCAGCCACTTCTTCAGGTTGTCCTCCATCCCTCGTCCTCAGCAGGCAGTGGTATCATTATATTGTCCTGATTATATTGTGTTCCTACATGTTAAAATTAAATCCACAATGCTCGGAGAAACTACAGTAGCTTGTGCTGTTAGCACACAAACAACCTCCGGTTCTGGTCCGTGTCGGAAGTCACGCCCCAAAATTCACGCAAGGCAGCATGGAGGCTAGGAATAAGGTAGATACTTAATGCAAAATAAAAGGTAAAACTGAAATCTTCAAATGTGAAAAGAATAAAGCAAAATTTAGCCATTCAAGCTTAGCTTAGCTATACGAGCGCTAATGTGCTGTTTTTATGTGGGCGGTGCTTATTAAACACCTAAAGTTTTTATGTTTGTTAGACACCAGAGAGGGCTTCAAATGCTTTCTGACCCATTTGGCTCTCCGTACATCCTCTCACTGGTACTTTGTGTTTCCAGCAGGTCTCTATGTGAAATTAAGAGCGCTTTAGAAATTATTATTTTTCTGAAAATCAGTGAGTGTAGTGACCACCTGAGACCAACAGTGTGACTGCCTGAACCTGAACCAGAACCAGAACCAGAACCAGAACCAGGTGAGTCAAGTTTTACTTCTGTGGAGAGACGAGACGCACTGAGGACCTCAAAGGTGCACCAAACCAGCACCACAACCCAAATCCAGGATAAAGAGGTTCGGTGAATTTGGTTCTGAAGGTGTGGAGGTGGATCAGCGAGTCTGAGGAGACTCTGTAGAAGGACAGAGTGCCAGCTGGAAAGTCCACAAACACTGCTACTCTGTGGTCCGAGGAGGAGGAGGAGTGAAGGACGGATGTTCCCTTCTTGTCGTGCCAGACGGAGTACCCGCTGCCGTCATAGAACAGAGTCCAGGACTGATCGTTCCCACCAAACCAGCCATCGTTCCCTTCTCCTCTCCTGGCGATCCCCTGGTAGCTGACGGATGTGTGGACTCCTCCTGTGAGTTCCACCTCCCAGTAACAGCGACCCGTCAGACCGTCAGAACACAGCAGCTGATGGTTCCTGAAGAACTGCTCGGGGTGATCAGGATACGACTGGTTTTGCTCCTCGTACCACACTTCCGTGTTGTCGTCGGACACTTTCATGTGTCCATTTATTGTGTTTGTGTTGAATGAAAGTTCACAGAAATCTGACGAGGAAAACACAAAATACAGTTTTATTAGGCCGGCATCTGAAAAGGCATAAAAACATCCCAATGAACGCACAATCAACATGCTCTAAATGTTTAGAAACAAAAGGAGTTGCAGTAGTCCCTCGCTCTTTCGCGTTTTTCAAAGGAAGAGTGCACACGAAAAAAATGTACAGGACACATGATCGTCAACTTTAATGTTACTCACGTGATTGGGACAGTACTGGATCCTGTGCAGTAAAAAGTTCACGAAAAATAAAATACTTCAGACAGGCACCACCATTTTGTAGTTTTATCTCAATAAGCCTAAACTGTATCCCTGCTCATAAGGACTACATTTCCCAGAAGCCAACAGTGACCCGCCCAGAAGCCTTGTTGCACCTCTACTGAAATTCTAGAGGGAAAGTTTTGATCGGATCAGAAAAAGTTTGGCCCTTTACAGTGACTTTGGCGCCCAGCGGATGCAGAGAACTGCACGGGAACCGGACCAGAAACTGAGCAGAACCGGACCTCCAGACCCATCGACAAATCTGAGAGCTGGTAGCCGGCTCCGAGCGGGGAAGCGCTAAAGGTTCGGCCTCTCTCCAGAGCCCACCGGGACTTTTTTCAGCTCTCTATTGGACCACTCAATCGGACCACCGATCCCGCGCCACTATTTTTCGTTAAAATGACGTGTGTTTAAGAGTTTAGAACATTGTAAGAGTGTGGGAAGGGTTTGTAAAGCCTTAAAATATAAGAATACTAAAATAAATATAACGTCGATACTTTGCGGATTTTGCATTTATTGCGGGGGGGGGGGGGGGGGGGGGCAGAACGTAACTCCCGGAGAAAACGAGGGGCTGCCGTAATTTGTTTTTAAATTTAAATTTTGACAATTAGCTATGAGCTTGCCACAGTTAATCAGCCTTAGGAAAAAATAAAACTCAAATCTACAGAAACGGTGATAAAATTTGATGCGTGGAACATTTTTTTCATGATTCGACCAAAACGGACAGAACCCAGTTACTTTTCAGCAAATGCTGTAGCTTTTGTCTTTATGAGTTTTATTTTAATGAAAACTGGTGCTATACAAATACAGTTTATTTTAATTGAGTTGTCTTGTGAGTCAAAAGCAGACTTACATTTCCTCAGGCCTGGTTTTAACCACTGGATCCCAGCTGGATCTGTCCTGCAGGAAGAATTAGAGGTAAAGAAAATTCAACTTTCAGCTTTTTTTAAACGTTTTCCTCCTCTGTTGCATCAAACTGCAGCTCTGACTGGGTGAGGCCTCTTCACACCTGAAAGTTTCCAGTTTGGATTGTGGGTCCTGGAGCTGAGCAGACAGAAGCTTCACTCCAGAGTCTCCTGGATGGTTGTAGCTCAGGTCCAGTTCTCTCAGACGGGACGGGTCGGAGCTCAGAGCTGCAGCCAGAGAAGCACAACCGTCGTCCGTGACCAGACATCCTGACAGCCTGCAGAGCCACAGAACACACAGTGAAGCCACAGATGAAGAAATACGAATCATCTAGTTGATTTCTAAAGAGCTCCAGAAGGTAAACGTTTTGTCAAAAAGTAACGCTTTTAATTTGAAATGGAATGATCGGGTCACCTGAGAACCTCCAGACGACAGTTTGAACTCTGAAGTCCAGCTGAGAGCAGCTTCACTCCTGAATCCTTCAGGTCGTTGTTACTCAGGTCCAGCTCTTTGAGACGAGTGGACCGAGAGCTGAGAACTGAGGACAGAGACGCGCAGCTCGTCTCCGAGAGGTTACAGAGGCTCAGCCTGAGGAAACCACGAAGACAGGAACAAATACAGAACTTATACGCCAAGAACGATGTTCCAAAAGAGTCACTCAACGCTGCGTGGGTGGAGAAGTTACGTAAATCCACTAAAATCTTATTTTGATATTATCTGAAGTCCAGTCTGACCTGAGAGTTTCCAGCTTCCAGTTTGAACTCTTCAGTCCTTCTGCCAGCAGCTCCACTCCTGGATCCTGCAGGTTGTTGTTGCTCAGGTCCAGTTCTCTCAGACCGAAGGACTGAAGTCTGAGAGGGGACAGGAGGACATCGAGACGTTCGTCTGAGAGGAAACATCCGCTCAACCTGAAGGAAAGCAACAAAACAGTTAATAATTAAAACAATGTGTGGTCAGTTTAAACTATTCTAGGTTAAGAGTTAGACCTGTAAGAAGAAAATAATGTTCTGATGATCGCAGATCAGATCAAACATTCATTTCATCACATAAATCCATGTTTTGTTTTATGGTCTGTTTGCACTCACACCATCTTTATTTTTATTATACAGTTGCAAGTTCTCATGGTTGTGGAGGAGTTCTGGCCCACTCTTCTTTCCATCGTTGCTTCAGTTCATTGAGGTTTCAGCTCCGCTCTCTGAAGGTCCCACAACATTTCAATCCGGTTGAGATTCTGGACTCCGGATCGCTGCAGCACCTTGGTCCAAGCTTCAGCTGTTGGAGAGCTCTTTAGTTTAGAGGAGTTCATGGTCCACTCACCGACTGCAAGGAGCCCAAACCATCAGCTCTCCACCACCGTGCTGACAGCTGGGATGAGGCGTTTGCTGCAGTGCATTCTGGGTAAACATCTGTCCTTTGGTCCCAGAGGTCTTGTTGCTTCAGACGAAACTTGCCAGACCTAAGAGGTGCAGCCTTGTTGTTTTTAGAGCGTTTCTTGACCTTTAACCTGCTGAGGCCTGTAGAGTTTGAGATGAAGCTTATTTCTCTGAGCATTGCACGGTCTGACCTTCGGGTTGCCCTTGTCTTGTGACAATCTTCACAGCTGGCTTAAACATTTTCCACTTGTGAATGGTCTCCCTCTGTGGAATGATGGATTCCAGATAGTTTGGAAATGACCTTTGACCCTTCTCAGAATGATGAGCAGCAACAGCTGCTTCTCTGAGGTCACTGCTGATGTCTTTCTGCCTTGGCGTTGTGTACACCTGTACACTCCAGAGCAGCAGAAACTGCTGATAATAACCAGTTAATCAGCAGCTCCTGTCTGATACTGAACCCGAGATCCTCTGGAAGCTGCGAGACTAGAAACATTTTTTTTAAACACACAGCTTTAACTTTTTATTCTGTTTTAAAAACAACTTTTTGGACTCTGCTGTGTTTTTGTTCACTTGATGTTGGATTATAATCATGTTTTTTTTGTCTGATAAAGATTAAAACAGTTTTTATGACACATACAACAAGTCAAATTAATAGAATTAAATTGACTAAATTAGAAGAACAGAAAAACCAAAAAGTCCTGCTGCAGCGTTTTAAGGATCATCTTACCTGAGACTCTCCAGCCTGCAGTTTGGACTCTGCAGTCCAGCAGAAACCAGCCTCAGGTCCGAATCCCGCAGGTTGTTGTTGCTCAGGTCCAGTTCTCTCAGACGGGACGAGTCGGTGCTGAGAACTGAACTCAGAGCTTCGACACTTCTTTGTGAAAGAGCACAGAAGCTCAGGCTGAAAACACAAAATTAAATAATTTATACTTGTTTTGATGCTTCAGCGATGAGTCAGAATTCACAATGTTGCTTCTGTTTTATAGTTTAATCCGAGTTCTTCTGGACGACTTCAGCAAACATTTACCCATTTCTGCCATTCAGTCGACAAACTTTAGAAAACATCATGGCTGTGACTTTTACGGTTTGTAGGGTTCATACTTTTCTGAATCGTTTAACTTTAGTTTTTTTTCCCAAAACAAAAGCGTTTCTTCAAATCCTTAAAAAAAACGTGTGGTCTGAAAGTAAGTATACTTGATTTGCAGATTCCAACTATTATTTTGCTAATTTTAGCTTTTAGCTACTGTTCTGCAAGTCTTACTGCTGCTTCTGTTAATTTTAGCTTTAGGCTTGAATTTTGCAAACTTTAGCTTTTGTTTAACAAATTTTGGCTTTTGTTAATCTTATATTTCAGCTACTGTACCGTTCTTCAGGTTTTAGTTGTGACCTCGTCATTTTGCCAATTTTAGCATTTGTTTAGCTAATCTTTTAGATTTTGCATACATCTTATTTTTAGCTACTGTTCTGATCATGTTAGCTTTCAGCTTGTTTTGCCAATTTAAGCTTTGAGCTAATGTTATGTCAGTTTCAGCTTAATTTTTTTTCCAAGTTTTTAGCATTTGCTAAATTTAGCTTCTGCTCTTTAATTTCAGCTTTTAGTTTTTGCCAATGTTATATTTCAGCCACTGTTCTGCTGGTTTTAGTTTTGACCTTTTTGATCAGCTATTTTTAGCTTTTGTTCTGATCATTTAAACATTAACTGAGTTCCAGTTTCTTCATCAAACTCCAGCCGTCGTTCAGCTCTCAGCATTCAGCTGGATTTAGACTGAAGAAGCTAAATTTTCCAGTTAAGCTAAAAGTTATAAAATGTGTGAAACTTTAATTTAAAGAAAAATATTTACTCTGCTTTGATGGAGGCTTTGACCACCGGCAGCAGCCTCAGAAGAACGTCTCCTGAAGTGGAGTATTTCTTCAGGTCGAACACGTCCAGATGTTCTTCTGAGGACAGTAAGATGAAGACCAGAGCGGACCACTGGGCAGGAGACAGTTTGTCTGGACAGAGACGTCCTGAGCTCATGGACTGTTGGATGTCCTCCACCAAAGATCGGTCGTTCAGCTCGTTCAGGCAGTGGAACAGGTTGATGCTTCTCTCTGCAGACAGGCCCTCACTGATCATCTTCTTGATGTGCTGAACTGTTTCCTGGTTGGTCTGGGAGCTACTTCCTGTCTGGTCCAGCAGGCCCTGCAGGAGTTTCTGATTGGTCTGCAGAGAAAGTCCCAGGAGGAATCTAAGGAACAAGTCCAGGTGTCCGTTTGGACTCTTTAGGGCCTCGTCCACAGCACTGTTGTGGAGGTTTGTTAACTTAGGTTTGCTAAAACGAGGCAACCTAAATGTTTGTTTTTCTCCCATCAAGTTGTCCCCAGAGGTGATGAAGGTCAAGTGGACATGAAGAGCAGCCAGAAACTCTTGGACACTCAGATGGACGAAGCAGAACACCTTGTCCTGGTACAGCCCTCTCTCCTCTTTAAAGATCTGGGTGAAGACCCCGGAGTAAACCGAGGCGTCTCTGATATCGATGCCACACTCCTTCAGGTCCGATTCATAGAAGACCAGGTTTCCTTTCTGCAGCTGCTCAAAAGCCAGTTTTCCCAGAGACCCGATTATCGTCTTGTTCTCTGGTCCTTTCTCTGCTCCTCCATCATACTTGATCTTCTTCACTTTGGTCTGGACCAGCAGGAAGTGGATGTACATCTCAGTCAGAGACTTGGGCAGGTCTGATCCCTCTCTGGTTTTCAACACGTCCTCCAGAACCGTAGCAGTGATCCAGCAGAAGACCGGGATGTGGCACATGTTGTGGAGGGTTCTTGAGCTCTTGATGTGGGAGATGATCCTCCTGGCCTGCTCCTCATCTCTGAATCTCTTCCTGAAGTACTCCTCTTTCTGTGGGTCAGCGAACCCTCTGACCTCTGTCACCATGCCAACACACTCAGCAGGGATCTGATTGGCTGCCGCAGGGCGTGTGGTTATCCAGAGGCGAGCAGAGGGAAGCAGGTTCCCCATGATGAGGTTCGTCAGCAGAACATCCACTGAGCTGGACTCTGTGATGTCAGTCAAGGTCTGGTTCTTGAGGAAGTCCAGAGGAAGTCGACATTCATCCAGACCATCAAGGATGAACAGAATCTGGAACTCCTCAAAGCTGCAGATGTCTTTAGTTTCAGTGAAGAAGTGATGAAGAAGTTCCACCAAGCTGAACTTTTTGTTTTGCAGGACGTTCAGCTCTCTGAAGGTGAACGGAAATATGAACTGGATGTCCTGGTTGGTTCGGTCTTCAGCCCAGTCCAGAGTTAACTTCTGCGTTAGGACAGTTTTCCCGATGCCGGCCACTCCCTTCGTCATCACGGTTCTGATCGGTTCGTCTCTTCCAGGTGGGACTTTAAAGATGTCCTCCCGTCTGATGGTTGGTTTAGGTCCATTCGGTTTCCTGGAAGACGTCTCGATCAGTCGGACCTCATGGTCACCGTTGGCCTCGGCGGTCCCTCCCTCTGTAATGTAGAGCTCCGTGTAGATCTGGTCCAGGAGGGTCGGGGTTCCTGTTTTATTGATCCCCTCAAACACACACTGGAACTTTTTCTTCAGAAAAGCTTTGAGTTCACGTTGATACGACCCAACAGAACTTTCTGAAAATAAAATAAACAGGAATTATTTCCAGATTATTCTACTCCATTCTGAGAATAAATCTATAGAAACAATCGTACGTTTACGCTCAATTTCCCTCTTTAAGTGAATTTTGATGGTTATCAATGCCTTTATTCTGCCTGTCCACTCGTCCACGTCCTCATCCTCCCATGCCTCCTCTTCCTCCCGCTGACTCCACAAGCATTCTGGGAAATCTGGACTCAAAACCTTCTCCGTCTGTTGTGGTTCAATTCTGTGAAGAAATTAAAAATTAGAGACTTAACACCACAAAAAAACACAGAGAATACATTAGGAAACGAACCTTAACATGACAGTTAGGTTTGGACAAATATCAGTCATCAGTGTAGATCGTTTTTAAGGCAACGGTACTTTTACCTCTCGAGAGGTTTGACCTGTAAAAGAACGTATGATTCAAACCCAAAGTGCCAAAATACACTGATTACATTCAATGCACCTCGTTTAACTTTGTCAGGTGTTGGACCGACTACAATTTTGGTGAAATAATTAATCTTATATATGTTGTGATAAAAAGGCAGGTACAGTACATCCAGGTCCATGAAGACAACTGCCCTGCATGTTTTAAATACTTCTCTGCTGCAACACATCTGATTTGAGCAATGCACGATTAGGCTCAGTGGTTAGCACTGTTGCCTCACAGCAAGAAGGTCCAGGGTTCAATCCCTGGTTGGACCCGGGGGTCTTTCTGGGTGGAGTTTGCATGTTCTTCTTGTGCTTGCGTGGGTTTTCTCCAGGTGCTCCGGTTTCCTCCCACAGACTAAAAACATGCATGTTAGTCTGCCTGCAGGTCCAGGCCTCCCTCGCAAAAGAGATCGGTATCTCAATGGGATTTGCCTGGTTAAATAAAGGTTAAGTAAAAAATTAAATAAATTAAAAATGCATGATTAGCAGGCTCCTGCAGAACTCGAAGAGGTAATTTAATCACTGAATCAGGTTTTGCAGCAGGAACTTGAGCATTGCATTTTTTGGACTATAAGGCACTTAAAATCATTTATTTTTTCTCAAAAATCGACAGTGAACCTTATGTATTAATTCTGGTTGTGCTTACTGACCTCAAACTGATTTTATGTGGTTATGAGGTGAATAAAGTTGGACCTATTTGACTGTTTTGTTTCACTTTATGTGCCTTATAATCTGAAAAATACGGTAAAACGTGCAGGACAGTGGCCCTCGAGGGCCAGGGTTGGACACCCCTGCAATAAAAGCATCATGTTAGAAGTTAACTACACGTTCGTGCTCACTGAGATAAACTCGTCTGTAGGATCTAATTTCAGCCCAGAGCTGCACAGATCTGATTCACTGTCAAAACCTTGGAGTAGGTTTCTGGTTTCAAAGTAAAGAAATGCCAAATCAGCGACTCCGTTTTGCTTTTTGGCTACAGTTGACTTTCACGGTTGTAAAGAGAACATGGATTGGCCTTACCACCATTCCTCTAAAAAAATAAAATAAAATAAATAAGCTTAAAGACAGCTGGTGAGTACACCACCAATCATCACCTGGACTTATGATGGCTCGTCATCCGACCAGAACGCCAATGCTGATCTGAGAAACAATGTCACCGTCTACAACGATTTCAGGTTTTCAGCTTCTTTTTCACGTCCACCAGTTTGACTTTTATGGATTCTTCCTTAAATTCAGATGAAATGTGAACGTTTTCTTACGGTTTCTCTGAACTTACATCGTTTCACTAGATGAGGTTTTGTCATTAAAGAAAATGCCAAGGCTCTTTGACTCGTTGCTCTTCAACGACACGCAGCTCGGATCAGGAGGTTCTGGTTTCCGTAGCCTGAACCTGAAACAAACCAAAGTATAACATTATAATTGTGTTACTCTGCAGAGCATGGGCTGATCATCAGGTTCAAGGTACCACTGTGTTAAAAAGTCACACATTTTTCCGTCATACCGTTCCTCGAGTTTAAATACATTTTAAACCTCTGATCAAGAGTTAGTTGGTTGAACATTTTATCCTGTGGATAACTCAGCCGTCAGTTACGAGTGAAGATATAAACTCTTTATAAGGCAAGAGAGTTAGCATGTTAGCGAGTCCAATATATGTTCCAGTTCAAATATCTTATTGAGCGTAACTGAATCTTTCCTGTTGCAGACAGCGTACATTGTGTTAGATGTTTGTCCTTTAAAGTCCTTCACAGGAAGGTCTTTCTTCTCATCGGTCCTACAGCACACACAGCTCGGGTCAGGAAACTCTGGTTTCAGCCGCTGAATCCTGAAACAAATACAAACGTGTTGGGTAAATGTGTACAAAAATAATGCAATAAAAAGAAGAGCATCGTTTTATTTTTATTTATTTTTATCGGCAGTTAATCTAAAAGCAAAACGCAAGCTCAACATATCAAGACTGTCGAAAAGCAGCTCGATAATCAACTTTTATAAATGCGTCGATCGTTCTGTTTGACCCAAGGACAGCAGGAGGGTTAAACTCTGACTCATAATGACAAACATTGTTTCACATGTAAAACTTTTCAAACACACCGGTCTGATAAACTTACATGTTTGTGCAGATGATGGTTGATCTTAAGAGTAATTCAAGAAGTTTCTTCCTTTTATTTCACTTGTCACTTCTGCATGACACAGATCAGCTGATCCAACCGCATCCTGAAACAGACCCAAACAAACCAATGTGGCTAAATCTCAAGAAAGCAGCTGGTGATACCCCCACCTACACCCCCAAAATCCCCCTATTCCTGAAATATCTCCAGGTTAGGTTTAAGCTAGGACGTTTTACTGAGACGTACTTAGAGCAGGTTCAGGTCCAGCAGAGTGATCCTGACTGCAGAAACAATCTGTCCTGACTGATAAACTCAAAATGAGATGAGTTAGAGTCACTTTCTTTAAGTTTTCCTTCCAAGCAGTCAGACTTTCCTGTAATCATTTATTCAGGTCTGGATCAGCAGTTGTTTCAGACTTCATGAGGTTGTTCAAAAGGTTTTCTTTGGACTTTTATTGCTTTTTGTCTCGTGTTTCAGTCCATTTCCCTGGACATTTTTTAGACGGATGCTTTTTAAACTCTGTACCACTCAGGCTCCTTGTTACCAGCAGCCCATCATAAAACTATAAATAGATCCAATGTTTGCAGAAATAAACACTAATAAACACGCAGTTTAACAAAACAAACAAAAAAAAAAGAGAAGAGGATTACACCTCCAACAAGGGGATTTCCCCAAAAGCTGAAAACTTGTCATCAGATCAGCTGAAGGATGAATGTCAACTCGTTGTTCCTGTTTCTTTACAACTTTCAGATACTAAACATCTGCTGGAGAAAGTTTATTTTAGGCCTGCCACTTCTTTTGTTCCACACCGGCTCAATTTCCTCTTTTCTTTTCAAACCTTTGCTCTCACGACAGGCAGAAGGACAGCACGCCACTTGGCAAGGTGCGGCAAGTAACTGCTGTCGGGCACGTACTTTAAAAATTCAGCTGAAGAGCTCAGTGTGTAAAAATAGCATTTTGTAAATAAACCCTTCAGGTTCTGATTTTAAACTTATGCAGTCGCTTCAGTTTATTTGTCAGACATTTTACTATGAATAAAATATGGGTTTATAAAAGTTGAGTCGCTGCATTTTGTTCTTACAGTTTACAAAACATCCCAACATTGACACTAGGATTTTAAAATAAAATTTCAATAAACACAACAACAACCTAAAACAGACGTCGTTACCACATTTTAAATAAATCAAACATAGTGGCTAAGTGAGACAGAAACGTCTCAGTTAACCATAGATGTCCACTTTGACCTCTTTAGATTTCAAACAATTGATAAGTTCACTAGAAAAATCAAAGCGAATATGTTCCTGTTTTTAGTTTTTTTTTTTGTATTTTACCTTGTTTTATATGGCACCTTGATTTGATTTTGTTTTATTTTTAGCGAGAGAGTCAGAGTTTCTTTATTGTCATTCGCGCCTCATGTGGTGCATGAGGTGGAATGAAATTATGTTCACAGGGCCCCAGTTACATCCAACAATAAAATGTAAAAACAAACCAGTAATAAGATCTAAGATATGATATTAAATTTTACTTTATTTGCATTCTATTGTTTATTATTGTCTGTCTTATCTTTGGTTTTGTCTAAATCAGGTCTCTTGAAAATGAGTCCCTGTGACTCAGTGAGACTAACCTGAATAAATAAAGGTTGAATGAGTTGTTTTAACACTCTCCTCTTTTATTCCATAAAAACAATTAAATATTTCTTTACATTCTGCTTCAAACTGAGGCCTCCTATAATGAGAAAAAGTGCAAATATGATAGCAAATAAACAAAAGCAAAATAAAGTTGCTGCTTACCGTTCGGCCACTTTCATCAACAAATATAACATAAATATAAAAAATAATAATATAACAGTATCAAACTAAGTTCGGACGAGTTATCAGTTTATGGCGAAAGAGATCCGTAGTGGAAACATACAAGAAAAACTAACACAACTAAAACTTTACCTAGACTGAATCTTTTACCACAAAAATAAACAGTAACATAATACTGATAACTTGCAACTTTTACAGTTTTGAACTTACATGTAGCGAGCTAGCTTAGCAAGTTAGCTTAGCCTCATGCTAGCTCATATCCTCTTTTCTTCAGCTTGATGCGTCTGTCTGTCTTTAACCGTCCTTTAATAGTTCCTAGAAAGCTTCGACTAACCCACTGCAGCTTCTCTGGTTGTCTGGTTTCACCCCGAGTCTGACGAAAAGCCACAGATCGAGCAGGAGAATGACAGTTCTGCAATGTTATTGTTGTTTGTCGCGTTTCCGGAGTCGGACTTTGACGACCCGCCCACATCGAGGCGGAACTCAGTGTTGCCAGATTGGGCGGTTTACCGCCAATTGGGCGGTTTTCGTTCTGATTTTGCAGGTAAACACTTCTATATTTACAGGGTGTGTGTGTGTGTGT